TAATATCGTTGCTGTTCACCTTTCTGCTGTCTCAACTTATGGATATCATTGTGAACGTCGACAATACCGACGACTTTACTGATACTTTCTACGTCATGCTTGCCATGGTCATGTCTTGTTGTAAAATGATTGGTCTTTTGGTAAATCGCAAAAATATAAGAATATTAACCAATATTCTTACCCAGAAACCATTCATCCCATTGGAGGCTGACGAAATAGAAATTCGCCACAAGATCGACAAAACAATACAGTAAGTATAAAAAACTCTCTCTCTCTTTCTCTCTCTCTCTCTCTCTCTCTCTCTCTCTCTTTCTCTCTCTCTCTATTTTTAAGAACGCAAAAATATTTCAACTTTTTAAGATTAATTAAATTGTACAAAACAACAGTACAAAGAAAAATGTTCTTAATAAACCGCTTAGTCATTATATAGGAACAACACTCTATGGTACACAATTTTGTTCGAGTCGACGATTGCATGCATCGTGTTGACATCATTATTCACGAATTTTCGTAAAGGAAATTTAACGTACAGAGAATGGACCCCGCTTAACTACACATCCGAGGTGTTATTTTGTGTCATGTACACTCGACAGTTAATAAGCTCGACTGTCGGCTCCATGGTGAACGTAGCATGCGACAGTTTAATTTGTGGTTTATTATTGCACGTATGCTGTCAGATCGAAATACTGGAGTGCCGGTTGAAAAAAGTCTCCCTCGGCCAAAACAATCTGCGTGAATGTGTACGTCAGCACGACTGTATATTTAAGTTAGTTTCTTTAATAATTCTGCAGATTGTGAATTGGTGAAAAAAATATTTGAAAAATTAAAAATCAGTTGTACGTAGCGCTTCTTTGAATAATTTTGCTATTGAATATTAACAAGAGCTCAATATTAATTATTTTTATATTTAAAATGTATATATAATTATTTTAAAAAATATCTTTAAAATAAAAATATATGTAAGAGTTTTCAAGTTAATATGTTTTCTCTAAAATATATTTACTTTGCAGATTTGCATTAATGGTGAACGAAAAATTCAAAATTATTATAGCCATTCAATTTGTGGTGAGTACGCTGGTGGTGTGCTCCAACTTATATCAATTGGCGAAGATGACGTTGAGTGCCCAATGCTTTCCATTGATATTATACACATGCTCCATGCTAACACAGATTCTTATCTATTGCTGGTATGGAAACGAAGTGAAGCTAAAGGTGCGAATTATGTGCATATTTCGTAAAACTCGAACATATATCATATAATTTATTAAATACTTACGCGATATTAAATACTCACCATCAGATATAAAATTGTTAATTTATTACAAGTAACTGTAACAAACTTAATAATACTCTGATATAATCGAAATAAGAAAACGTTAGTTACAATTTCTTCTTAAGAATCTTGTATAATGTTTTCATTCATGTGCGTGTTATATTTTTTACAGAGTGTTCAACTCGCCGCTAATATCTTTGGAATGGGTTGGTTGACAATGAAGCAAAGCAGAAAACAGAATTTATTAATAATTATGATTCGTTCATTAACACCGATTGAATTTTCTAGCGCGTACATTCTCACAATGAATCTCGATTCTTTTGTAGGCGTGAGTATAACAAGTCACTAAATAATTAATAATTAATTAACAAAGATATTTATTTGGAAAATAATGAACACTGATTTTTATAATCTGCACATTGAAAAATTTATGATACACCACGTAACAACGTTTGATTTATATTT